CCAAGGGTGTCAGTGGCAAAGGCCTTTTTAACGTCAAAGGAACTTCCAGAACGTATAAATCTCTCCCGAAGGAGACTCCGCCCTTCGGCAGCCTCCTCGGGTTCCTCTCCTGCCCGTAGGAAGAGAGTTAAACCGAACAGTTTTCAGAAAGTAGCGACTCGACTGGTTCTGAATAAGTCACCCCCCAGGGTGTCATGGCACAAAACGAGGCTAAACAGCATTTGAACCCGTATAAACTCCTCCGCCCTTACCTTCGGGTTCCTCCAAAGGAAAAGTTAAACCGAACAGTCGCTCGAAAACACTCGACAAAATTATTCAGACCCCCCCCGAGGGTGTCAACGCCTTTTTAACGGGCATTAGGCTCGGCCTCTGTTTTACCTCCCGAAAACTCCGCCCTTCGGCGATGGCCCGTAGGAAGATTAAACCGAACAAGAAAGTACTGGCTCGACTGAAGTTTATTGGACAATATTCAGTCACCCCCACGAGGGGTGTGGCACAAGGCCTTTTTAATCAAGTAGTTTAATAAACCAACCCCCCAAAAAAGCCTCCTTCGGGTTTTCGCCCGGAATAAAAAAGTCGCTCAGAAAGTACTGAACAATAGACCAATTCAGTAATTCATTTGGAAACTTTTTATTAGCCATTAAAATTTGAACCCATCAGGGCTGATTTTACTCCGCCCTTCGGCAGTTTTCGGGTTTCAACCTAGGAAGAGAGTTAAAGAAATCGCTCAGAAAGTATGATACTGACAATATTCCATCTGCAAGGTAGAGCCCATTAGGCTCGGCCAAAAAAAATAACCCTATAAACGGGTTCAGGGCCGAAATTTTACCCTCCCGAAGGAGACCTAAACGATCTTGACTTAAGAGGAAGTTAAACGAACTTTTTTATTCAAAATAAATGGTCGACTGGATCTGACTCTTTCCGACTTCCAATAAAATCAAGAGAGGTTTAAAATGATTCTATGGAAGGAATTATAATTTTATACCTAGAACACAAAACCAAAAACAATGGAACTGTTGAGGAATAAGGGTCAATCGTTATTAAATGAACAATGTCTCATCAAATGTCAATATCAATCCTAACGCTAATCGATAGCTAATAAAGAAAAACCTCAACACCACATTGATGATCTTTTGTACTTGAAACCTATGAAATATCTGATCTATACATCCCATCACACGACTCCATTAACCTTGGTACCTAAATCTACCTTTATATGGGGGGCAGAAAACAAATAAAAGGCAAATATCTTGAAAAAAAGACAATTGCAACTCATTAGGTGGCCTTAATAAAATAAATAAATGGGTATAATAAAACAGACAAATGAATTTTTTCAGAAGAATATTTTTAAAACAAAATATTCACAGAAATCAGATTTTTAAAAAACAAAAAATCTCAAAAAAAAAAAAAAAAAAAAATTTTTGCAAACCATACCAAACTCGTGGAAAATAAACATAATGGAAGGTCCCAGTCCTCAAATCTGAAGGATCGAAATAGCAAACTGTCGTTGACCAAAAAAAAATTAAACCCAGAAAACTAAAATCGGTATCATCTACGACAAAAACACAACCATTTATCCTCATATAAAAAAACCTAAAAAAACAAATGTACCAGAGTAAAAAAGAAACTTTTAGACAAAACTAAACTCATCACCAAAATAAATACAAATAGAGAATGGGAAGCTATAAAAAGACATAGACAGCGATGAAAAAAACATAAACCCTGAAACTGAAATATATGGACATTAATCCAATCACAACTGGATTCCTCTCAAATAAGTTTTGGTAGCATATGGTTCAATAATATACCGATCTGAAAAGGAAATCGACCCATTTTTGACTAATTGCCTCTGCAAAACGATAAAATAACAAAATGGTATCTTGAAAAAAGTTTAATAACCAACCCCCAAAAACCGTGAAGGTTTGAGACAACAGATCTTTCATTAGCCTTCAGAACCCTCCAGTGGATAGCCTGTACGAAAAGTACGACTTTGAGGTTTCTTTGACTTCCAAAAACCTATTTAAAAACTTAAATGTAAAAAAAAAATTGACAATTCAATATCTCCCTGCCTAAAATCTTAAAAAACTGAAAACATGCCCATTCAGACAACGGTTTTGATTTTTTTAAAACCCTGCCTAATTTTGGTCTCAAGGAAAACGATTGTACCTTCAACAGTATCATCTACGAAAAAATAAACCTAAAAACAAATGTAGAGCCCACGAAACTTTTTGAGCTGAGCGAAAAAAAAAAAAAATTAACAATAAACCCTTTGGATCTGCAAGGAATAAAAAAAAAATAAAGATGACCCCATTCACCTCGGAGAAAATGAAATCAAAATAACGAATATTCACAAAACAATCATTTCTAAAACACCGCCATGGATGATCAAAGAGCTCCAGAGCTAACCACCAGTTAAGTTATCTCCACAAACAAAAGACTCAAACCCATCACTTCTCAAGATCAATTCCACAAAATTTGCGAACAGCATCCTAAACACTTCTACACATTTTACTGGTGCTTCAAAAGACACTAACAAAATTGCATGCGCAGCCAATTTTTACTAGAAAACTCTAAAGAAATCTTTTCCAAAGGAAAGCTCAGTTTTTATAGCATGAAATAGATCTGGCTCTTGCCATAATCTACGATAATAACTACAAAAACTCCATCATATTCTCAGATTCTCTCTCTGCATTAACAACACTAAAAAATAATTTAAAAAAAACAATTAGAAGATCCCTAAATAATCAAAGTATTAAACAGATTGGACTCTATGTCGAATAGCAGAAAGGTCACATTATACTGGATCCCAAGCCATATCGGGGTAAAGGGTAACAAAAGAGCAAATTCAGCTGTCAAATTGCTTCTTTAAAAAGCCCGACAAGTTTGAGATCCCTTCCACTGATCGGAAACCCCAAATCAACAGATTCCGCCATACAGAATGGCAGTTGCACTGGAATAAAAACATCTACAATAAACCTTTTACTCTGAAACCCTCCTTTGGAGAGTGAAAACCAGACTTTAGGAAAACTAGGCAGGAAGAGGTTACAATATCACAACTACATATTGGTCACACCAAACTTACGCATTATAATTTATACTTAAACAAGAACCACAAGCAAAATGCACAACCTGCCAAACACACACACACTCTCTCTCTCTCTCTCTCTCTCTCTCTCTATATATATATATATATATATATATATATATATATATATATATATATAATACAACCTACATTTTTTTTTTCCAATCATATACATAATATATATGTATATATGGCATTTGGTATTATATATATTATGTATTTATATAACCCTCAGGGTCGATGTACGATAAAGCCTAACCAACCAACCAAATTCTTACGGAAGTTGAATAAGCAGAAAAGATTGTTATGGGCAAAAAAGCATAAGAACTGGACATTAAATGGCAAAATGTCTTATGGACATACGAGTCTAAATTTGAATTTTTTGTTTGGTTTAAGGAAAGTTCTTGTGAGAATCAAGTTAAGAGAAAAACTGAATGATGAATATTTGGTTCTAATTGTTAGGCATGGTGGTGGTGGTGGGGGTCTGTTATGGTGGGGGGAGTGGTGTTTTAAGGGAGAGAGAATAAGTGATTTTATCCAGGTCATGAGAACCACGAGAAAAGAACAATATTATCCGATTTTGCAAAAACATGCTTTGCCATCGGGTTTACGCGTAACTGGAACAAGAAAACGATCCAAAACAATTTTCTAAATTATTTCAAAATTACCTCGAGTTAAAAAAAAAAAAAAGAGAGTGACAAAATTTTGAAAATTATGACTTAGCCGCCTTAATCCCCTAATCTCTCTCACATTGGATTAGTAAATGGATAGAGGAGAGTTCGAAGAGAATACGTAGAGTGAGAGTGACGTTTTTTAATGCTTAAAGAATGGAATGTCTGTAATGTATTTAAAAAAACTGCTAGAAAGAATACCAAGAATTTGTAAAGCAGTAATTATGGCAGGTGGTGGTTTTATTGAAGGAAAGAAAATATGATACTGTTATATATTCTTTTATAGTTAAGTTCTTATTTTTTTGTTAAAATAAACGCAAATGCACTGTAGTTAGTGAAAATTTATCTTTTTCTTTAAAAACTACAAAAATATCTTAATTTTTTTTATCTGTCTATATTTCTGAGATGAGGTATTATGCACACTATCGACATTATTCGGACTATTGTCCTCATCTTTGTTGCCATATTTATTACAACGTTTCTGCAGTTGTACACTCCAGCCTTCTTCAGGTGGTTGGAATGTCCAACTGAACCCTTTATTTCGCTCACTAGGGTAGACTGATTTAGTTCCACGTGCCATGTTTAATGTATGTAATTTATCAGTTATCACCTGTTAATTCACTTCTCCAAGTTCTCCACTGTCTTAACCAGGTATTGAACCCACAACTCTTTGGGTTTTCCTGTCACTGGATCTAACCAACTTCTTTATCCACTGTGCCATGTGTCCTTGTCTACCACTTCGTCCCCAGCCTCTCAACCTCCGGCGTCTTCCTCTTTGGGTTGAGGTGTCCATTCGGTCCGAACCGAACTTAGGGGTAACTGGCCGTACGCTCCCTGAGTACCCGTAGATTATTTCGACCGGTCAACTGGTCAAGTCCTGCTCGCTGCCTACGCTGTGTTAGTTTTTAGATCCAGGAAGCGGGGTGTTGTCCATACGTTCACAGTCGACTGGACATGTGGACACGACTGTGAGAGTTGGCGCTAGGAAGTTTTAGAATGTGGCAAAATAAAACAAGAAATAATATCTGCAGAAGCCAAACAACAATGGGGGAAATAATGACGTCTTTTATATAAGAAGATAACATCAGAACAGAGGTTACAGGGAGAATAAAAACATTTAACATAAATGAGAAAAGAAAAAGAAAAAGACAAAATGCATCCAGCGAATTCCCAACAGAGAGAGGGTTTGTGTGTGATAAACACGTATTGAATCGCCTGGGGTAGGTTTATGACTAATAGTCCAGTTTCATACAGACTTCTCAGAACAGGGGACAGTCTTCTTTCTCTCCTCCAAAATTCTCCCGCAAATCTCGACGCACTGCGACGATAGTCTCGTTCCCCGACTCTTTCGACTACAGTCTCTCCTGTAGCACCGCGACCCGTAATGGTCGCCGGCGGGTGCTCACGCACGTGTCAACGATGTGCCGACCGATCGCAGTCTCTCCCGTCTCTCTCTTCCATCTGCACTCGATGGTAGACCAGCCAACCACTCTCTGCCTCTTCCGTCTGGTTTGTAGCACTGCGATCCGTAACGGTCGCCTGCGGAGGCTCACGCACGCGACGACGATGTGCCGACCGATCGCGGTCTCTCCCGTTTCTCTCTTCCGTCTGGCTTGTAGCACCGCAACCCGTAACGTGACGACGATGTGACGACCGATCGCGGTCTCTCCCGTCTCTCTGTTCCGTCTGGCCTCTTCCGTCTCGCTCGACCGTCTACCACTTTTTCAGCATAACTATGCGTTTATATAGATAAATCTGACTGATCATGAATCGACCCTCGGCCCGGCACGCAGCTATCACGAGTGCCAAAAACTATCCCATGACATGTAAACCTATTCTCCAATTATTTACCTTATCTCAATCACGAGTTCTTCTCGCTTAACCAAAATTATACTTTGGGATATCTAAACATTGATTCAACCTTTTAATCAAAACAAATACTGTTAAACAAAACCAAGTACCTCACCCAGCCCCATTGTTTACTAGTGACCCAGGTTTAAAACATTGCCTCCTGCCCCGAGATCGTGTTTCTCATCGGTAAACACACATCTTAACCCAAATTGTATTTTGATATATAAACATCGTTTCCATTTCCAGTCAATAAAAGTTATATTCGCGTGTGTGCATTCATGTGGGTGTGTCTATGTATACCTCTCTCTGTTACACTTGTGTTTTTTGGGGGTTTTTTTTTTTTGTTGTTTTTTTTTTTTTTTAAAGAAATTCTGGTTATCCCCAAGCATTTTGTCTATAATATATATAAGTTATAATCATAAAAATTCTATGAAATATGTTGTAAAGTTTTCACCTGAGATCGAGAAAATAAGATTTTTATGTGTAACGGTCAAACAATTGGAGAAAAAGAAGCCATCAGTTTAATTCACATTCGCTTGCTGTCAGTTTAAACTGATAACTTTGTTTTTTTGATATATTCAAACTATAAATATAAACTATAATTTTGGAAATTAAAATTTTGACTGAAATATTTTTGAAACTTACCGTGCTTTCATATGAAATCAAGAAAACACTACCTTTAAGCAAACTGGTCGCAATATACGAAAAAACAAGAGGCGTCAGTTTAAACAGACGACAGAAAAACATATTTAAAAAAGAAATCCAATGGGTTCAAATCTGGTGAGCATATTGGACAAGAAATCTTTCCACGGCTTTCAATTCTTTTTTTTTTTTTTCTGGAAAATTTTAATTTCGAAATGAACTAAAGTAAAACGATAAGTTACTCGATTTTTTTTAAGCCTGTATCTCCTGTCGGTTCTATCCGTGCAAGTTCTTGAATAAAACCATTTTGCTGCAGAATAGTTAGCTTTTCAAATAAAGACAGAGATTAATACTAATTTTGAAACGGAAATAATTTATAATGAATAATATTAATAGAAAACTTAAGATGAAATTACCGTAGAAATTACTGCTTATAGCCGTAATACTTATGATCTATGCTAATATTCTTCACCCGCTCTTATCGCTTGTAAATTTCTCTTCCGGCTTTTTAATTTCCAGTCAACTACAATCTTCAAGCATAAGAATACAACATCAATCGTTTATCTTCTGTGTCCTTGAATTATGTTCCTTTTTATTGTCCTTTCTCTCCAGTAACGTTCTCTCAATTCCCTTCCCTCTCAGTATCCCCCTTACGTCTTAGTGTCTTTATTGCCTTGCTTCGTGTGAAATGATTTTTTAAAAGATCCATTTTAGTTATTGCTGTTGTTGTGCATGTGTCATAATTGTATTAATTTACAATAAATATCAAAACCATAAAATAGCCACAAGACTGCGTTCAGATGCACAATTATTTCTACTCAATAACACCTAGAATAATTGGAAACAACGGTTACCACCCACTCAATATACGTTAGAAAGATACTACAGACCTATCCATAATGCACTATCGGCCAGCATATATAAATAGTCGAGCCAAAACACAATACATACAGCCTGAAGATTGCGTTCAAGAATGAAACAGACTGCCGCCGTTGGGTGTTGACTTTGTTGGAGTTAGCTCCTCCTTAGTTCCTTAACCCTTTCACCAGAGGTCTCTCTTCGCTGGCTATAAATACTCGCTGACCCTTCGCCTCCTCCTCTTTTTCCTCAGGCTCTCAGCCACCTCGCAGATGTGAACGCTCACAGATACAGCGTTTCTCAAATGCTGGGAACACGCTAAGAACAATACACGTACGTACGAACACTCACCACAACACAACACACACACCATAATATTCACCACACACACTC